TTTGCTTTGCTTGACTGGTCTTGTGACCCCTTGTTCTCCCCCACTTTGCCTATGGGGGTGTGTCAGAGTTATATGACATAGCTACTGTAGGCTACAGTGGGGTAGCACATATGGGGTACAGTTGCCTAGGGTTTGCCTTTTGTACCCAACTTTCACTTAGTCATTTCATTCCTGTTTTCTTGATTCTCACAGCTTTCAACCGCCCGATTGACATCGGCAGTATCAACGGCTGACATCCCAACTCTTTGAAATTCGCCTGGTCAACGCGCTCAGCCACGCGTCAACTCGAAAGTCAACATGCTTCCGCACCGTCAGATCAGTTTCAACCGAGATCTGCAGTTTTCACGCTACTGCAAGACTCGCCTACGTATAAGGGCACCTTATTTAGAAGGTGGGAGAGTGTAATGAATGTGAATTCATTACTGTAGAGGCTACTCCTAGCGAGGACAGCCCGAACTGTTCGCGTCAGTTTGGGTTCGGCCTACACTTCGGCCCGAACCACTTCCGAGTCGCCCCGCACCAGTCGCGACACTTCCAACCCATCCACGTCCCGAGGTCCTCGCCTACCACGGTTTCGACCCTATAAATGCTTGCTTCTTTATCATTCTCGTCATTCTGTAATTCTCATCCTTTTTATAAAGTCTTCCGCGCACTCTTCTTAGTACAACTCATAACACTTGGTATCAGAGCCTAAGTTCCTAGGTTCCCAGTTTTTTAGAGTGTATTACCCCTCGGGGGGGGGACAGGGAAGGATGCCGTGGTGACAGGAGCAGCGCAGTAGCCGGCCAGGAGAACGGATAGTTGCTCCTAGCGGCCATGTTTTTACGGGCGCTCCTGCTGCACCGACGGATCCTTGCCCTCGACGGTCGAGATGGACCGTGGCCTCCCTCCCCCCGGGTGGCGGACAGCTTTTGCTGTCGTCGCATTTAATTGCGTGAGTAAATTTCATCGTTTCCGTTAATCTCGGCGCTGTTTTTATGCGGCAGTTGGCGTCAGGACGGTTGTCGTCACTGCATGCGCGAGATTCTCGGAGCAGCTGGTCGTGCGAGTTGAAGTTTTCACGTGGTCGTCGACTGCGCACGAAGAAATCGGAGTTAATGCGTGCGGCAAGTGGCGTCAGGCGTTTTCGTCAAGTTGCGCACGAGAATCACGGAGGTCTTCGGCACGTTGTGAGCATCGTCACTGTGCTCGAAGATTTCGGGTGGCTTCACGGCAGAAACGACAGCTGGCCGGACAGGCCAGGCGCATGGTGATTTGCGTCGGAAAATGCAAACGGCGAGGAGAGACGGCGTGACGACTGCCCGAAGAAAGCGGGGGTCTACCGTCGTTCCGCCCGGGTGTGGCCGGTGTGGCTGCATGAGGGTGCGTCTTTGGCGTTTTCGGCAGGTGCGGCACAGTGTGGGACGGAAGTTATTTTCGAACCGCCGAAAAGTTCGGAAAAGGCCGCCTACGACTAGACTGTCTACGTTAGGGTCACTTCTGCGTCTGCAACAAGGTCGGCCGAAATTTTCGGAGCAACAGCAGCAGCCGACAGTGTACTTCATGCGGCACAGGTTCCCCCTGATCAAGGGAAGTTGCGCCGCAGACAGGGCAGTACACCGACGGGACAACGGTTTATCGCAGCGTCTAGACCCGCGAATTTCGCCTGGTCTACCGGTCACAATAAACGGAGTTGCGACAAATACGGGTCTGGCGAGAGAAACGGATTCCGAGCTTCAGGAGGGGCGAAAACGACCTACTGCGACGACTTTTTGCTGAGGGCCGAGTTTTGCGGCTAAGCGGCGGTAGCAGAAGGAGCTCCCTACCGGCCAAAGTCTACCGACGTTTCACATACCTCACGCCCAGAAGGCCTCGAAGGCAAGGAGTAGGTCCTATTGGCCACTGGATCCAAAGGTGGGGCCCTGTGTTTAGCCCTGTGCTGGCTAAAAAAGCGCGGGTACTGCGCCAGTTCGACAGCTGGGCGTACAAGAAATTTTCTGGGAGCGACACTGTTTCGGCCCCGACAAAACCGGACCATCGGCAGCAGTTACCCCGCCGAAAAAGTCGGAGCTGAAGCAGTTGGTGCAGCTGTCGGAGTTTCTCCTGATTCAACGGTCTACCCGACGGCGGTGTAGCGGCGAAGAAGGGATTTCCGAAGCTGAGGAGTTTTAAACGCGATAGACGCGGTGGGCAGCGAAGCGGCCGGTCCGACTGTTTGATCCGATAAACATGACCCGGCTACGATAGCGTTCGCGCCTTCACCGAATGTCAGAAAAATCGCGGGCAACAAGAAGTTATACCTCATCCGACAAAAGCGAACGCTGGGTGAACGGCGGCAAGCGAAATTGTCGGGGGGTGAAGACACAAAACAAATGGAGGGAAATTTGTGGGTGCTCCAGCAGATCTCCAGAGTGAAAGGTTGAGCCCGTACACCAATCCACCGCGAATTTCGGAGTCTATTCGGTAGACCCCCGAAAGGGTTTGATATTGTTACATGGAGGCGCGGCGAGCGGTGTATCGCCAAGGATACCTGGGATTCGCTAAGTAATTTCGACGGGTGCGAAGACGGGTGAACGTCGGAGTACCAGGGTTAACGGCGGAAGCGTCGGGGTTACGCGGCGGAAAATACTTCGGGACTGCTTCAACAACCATGATTTTCAGGGTTTTATTCCAACGGTGGGAGACGGGTGAACGTCTGCTCACCAGCTGTTTCAGCGGTTTACGGTGTACTTCGAAGCCACCTGGGGAAATTCTACAGCGAGATCTGCGGCGTTGATGCGGGCTAGGTTCCGTGAAATTCGGTCCCGGTAGACCCATAGTTCTGGGTTCCGCACAAAAAGCACCTCCTGTTGGTGGGTGGCTAGTGTGGTTAATCGCAGGAAATAAAAATGGCGACGGGTGGGCACGCTAGATACACCGGTTCTTCAAGGGGATAACCTGCAGGTGACCAAGACGTACGAGAAATTTCAACACCGACACTTACGGGTTTCAGCAGCAGTACTGGGAGCTGGGTCTTTACAAGAGTTCGGCGGTGACGGCCGACAATTTCGCGACAACGGCGCTGCGTTAAGCGCGCGAAAACTGCCGTGGTGAACTTCATGGTGGCAAAATCTGCAGAGTTTCAGGGGTACCAGCCGCAACACTGGTGAAATGTATCACAACAGGTGGGGGGAGGAAGGACAGCTTTTTCGCCTCTGCCCCGAAGTCTTCGGCGAGTCACGACAACAGCCGAGGTAGCTGACGTCATCGACAGTTCGAGTTTTCAACTTTGAAAAATATTTGCGAGGTCAGGGGGAAGAGCAGCAGCTGTTTTCGTCCCTGCCCGGGAGTTTTCGGAGCAACGCGACAAAGGCCTCGGCGAGTCTGGACAAAACTGCCGAGGGCGCCGACAGCTGGAACACTACAGCGAAGATTTTCGCCACAGCAACCAGCCAAACGGCAGCAGCAATTCGGGATTGCAGCAGCTGCCAACTGGAGATTGGGCAGCAATAAAGTGATTCGATACTGCCACGCGGGGATTACGAGGTGGCAGTCACGAGAGATGCTGCAGCAACAATAGCGACAACAAGACAACAAGAAGATTTTCTTAATGCCGAGCCCCTGCAAAAACGATATTTTTTCGAAGGGACTTCGACAGAGTTTACCCTGGGCATTTTCGGGGTTTTCGACAGTGAAGATTTCGCCACCGACCGCAATTTCGACTACACAGCGGCTGAATTTCAGGCGGGAGGTCATAACACTTGGTATTCTGTCCTACCCTCGGCGTCAGGGGGGTTGTGGTTTTGTGCCCGCGCAGCTGTGCACATTTTGGTGGGCAGCAGTTCTCTTCCAAGGGGAGGGGGGGAGAAAGAGTGCTCACGCACTGTTGTTGGCAGGCCTCTGACATTTCGGCAGTTATTTCTGACAGTTCGTTTGACACACCCAGCACGACGGACGCACACGATGGCTTCATCGGCATCGACGGCACCAGATTCATCGATATCTGACAACGCGTCAGAATTCCCGCCGACATGACATTCACCAGAACCATCCGATACACATCCGCGACATCGACGGTCTTCCTTCGTCGAACGATTTGAGATCGACATTCGCTTTCAACCGCCCGATTGACATCGGCAGTATCAACGGCTGACATCCCAACTCTTTGAAATTCGCCTGGTCAACGCGCTCAGCCACGCGTCAACTCGAAAGTCAACATGCTTCCGCACCGTCAGATCAGTTTCAACCGAGATCTGCAGTTTTCACGCTACTGCAAGACTCGCCTACGTATAAGGGCACCTTATTTAGAAGGTGGGAGAGTGTAATGAATGTGAATTCATTACTGTAGAGGCTACTCCTAGCGAGGACAGCCCGAACTGTTCGCGTCAGTTTGGGTTCGGCCTACACTTCGGCCCGAACCACTTCCGAGTCGCCCCGCACCAATCGCGACACTTCCAACCCATCCACGTCCCGAGGTCCTCGCCTACCACGGTTTCGACCCTATAAATGCTTGCTTCTTTATCATTCTCGTCATTCTGTAATTCTCATCCTTTTTATAAAGTCTTCCGCGCACTCTTATTAGTACAACTCATAACATGGAGGGTGCTCATTATTGGAATTGTAGAAGTCGATACTACAACACGAAAAAAGAATCCATTCATCCATTTCAAGGAGACAACTCTCCCATGTGCTCCACAACAAAGCGGCAGGTATGGTCTGATGCGGGATCAGCCACAAGCGTGCCGTTACCTAACATGCCTGCAAACAATGCGAATGTGCTAATATATCGAGTGAAGCTCGTCAAAACCGCTGCTTTGCCTAGAAGCACAAAATCGGCCAACGTTGCGAGATGACTCCCACCCGTTTTTGACAAGTGAACTGCCGGCGAAACAGAGAAATACACCTCGCCAAAAGGGCGTAAAATCTCCACCACTTGCGATCGAAGGATATCCGTATCTGTAGCCACAAATATCCTCAGGTGGCCTAGATGAGACGCCGAAGGCCCGCCAGGTGGCACAATCGAGGCCACAAGATTTGAATCTTCAACCGTCCATTCCTGCAACCTTCTCCTCTGCTGAAGCTTTCTCTTCCTGTTCAAACTCCGTTGACGCCGCGAATACTGTAGCAAGCGGCGCTTCGTACTCGAAGCTGCTAATAAAGAGGATATGGCCGTGGTATCATTAGAATGAGGAGAAGGTGAAGGAGCAGCAGCAGAGGGAGGTGCAGATTCTGAATGTAGGGATGGGGCCGAGGGGAGGGCCGAGGCAGATGGAGCAGCAGCACTAGGGGGTGCAGTGAGGGATCCAGGGGCTGCTGGTGAAGGGGTTGGTGGTGGTGAAACGGTGGGAGATAGGGGTGATGCCGATGCAGGGGCTGGTGCAGTGGCTGTAGCTTTGGAGGTGACGGTTACATTGGCAGTGGCAGCATTGACTGCCATGCCGGCCGTTGATTTAGTCAGAGGAGAATTGGCTTTCATTAGAGGAGGTTTGGGTGTATTGGCAAGCCCAGCAGTGCCGGCTGTAGCGCTGGCAAACCAGGCAGCAGCGGCGGCTGTAGCGTTGGGGAAGCCGCCAGCAGCAGCCTTCTTGACGCGCAGGAACTGCGCCAGCCTGGCGATGCAGCGCCAGCGGTTGGGCTTCATCAGGTTGTGGGCTCTTGATATCTCCGCCTGTTGGGCTCTCTCCTGACACGGCGTGTCCTTATCCCCGCAGTGATCGCCCTCCACGTTGCTGTTCGGGGAGGGGGAGTGGGGCAGACGGAAAGAGACGGAAGGAGAGGGACAGCAACAGCAGGAGGAGTTTGAGTGGAGAGGGTTGTGAGCCTGGCCGGGCAGTGCAGCGCTGGCAGCAGCCTTTTTGACGCGCAGGAACTGAGCCAGCCTGGCGATGCAGCGCCAGCGATTGGGCTTCATCAGGTTGTGGGCGCGGGAGATTTCTGCCTGTTGGGCTCGCTCCTGGCACTTGGTGTCTTTATCGGCACAGTGATCGCCCTCCACGTTGCTGGTTGGGGGGGAAGGAGATGGAACGAGACGAGCAAGAATGAATGGGACGAACTGAGAAGGGAGGAGAAGGGGCAGCAACATCAGTAGCAGCCTTCTTGACGCGCAGGAACTGCGCCAGCCTGGCGATGCAGCGCCACCGGTTGGGCTTCAGTTGTGCGGTTTTAGGGTTACAGCTATACCCCCGCCTGCCTGCCTGCTGCGCTCTCATACAACTGACACTTTGAGAATCAAGCACATTAAAAGCACACATTAAAGCCACTCACACTGAGTGTCCACGGATGTGAATCGACAGGTCAAACTGCAGCCTCAGCCCCTCGCCTTTCGCAACCGTCTGCGGCTCCACCTTCCCCCCTTTCGCCTCCCCCTCCTCCATCCCCATCCCGCCCCCTCTGAACACCAGCGGTGGCACCACTCTCAAGTCTCTATCAACCACCTCTTGCACCCCAGGCCTTGGCCCTTTGCCGAGGAGGAGGGAGAGCACTTGCGACTGGATGCACCAGAGGGAGCGGCAGCCGAAGGCGTCATGCACACACTGGTTGATCAGGGGATCCCTGCGCCAAAAGGCATCGAAGAACGCACCTGGTGGAGAAGGGGAGGGGAGGGGCGACGAGGACGGATATGGGTGAGGGGGAGATGGTAAGGGGGAGGAATGCAGCGAAATGGGTCGTGCACACACTGGTTGATTTGGGGGTCCTTGCGCCAAAATGACCTAGTGCGAGTGAGCAGGGGAGGGGAAGGAGGGAGAGGATATGCGTGAGGAGGAGAGAGCGTAGAGGAGAGGTGGAGGAGAAAGTTCAAGGAGGAGTAGGAGGGAGTGTAAGGGGAGGAGGAGTGAGTGTAAGAGGAGGAGAATAGCTCATGACAAATGAGTAGTAATTAAGGACCTAATGTTGTGTGATGCTGTCATTTGTATTCACGTCTGTCTGCCTTCCATCCAAATTTTCTACCTTGCATACGTGGTGCGCATGCGTAACAATTTGTGTTCGGTGATGTTTGGAATTTGTGAAGAAGTGTGAATGTATATTGTTTGAGCAAATATCTGAAACGACTTCTCTTTTCAAAAGCTTAATAACAAACAAAAAATTGGCGCGATTGGAACAAGAACGAGAATGTTAGAATAGTTAGGGGTTATAATTGTGATACGACAACTATGAGAATTGGTAGGGTGACTCCATATGGGGTGTAGAGTTTTGTGAGTTGGAAAAACTCGTGACTCTACCATAATTGTTGCCAAATGGTTGGGAGAAACCGAACTTGGTTGGGGGAAGCCAAACTAGGTTGGCAAGGGTGACCAGTTTGGATGAGGTGGATTAAGAAGGTTGGGAAAAAAACAAAGGTCAAAATTAAATTCTTATACAGCGGGGATTTTGTCTGATTATGGGGTTTTTTTTGTTAAAGACTCCCTGAGGACCTTCCCTCTCGTCGTCCTCTTTTTTTCCCACTTTGTTTTTTTCTACTCTTATACTTTGTGTCATGCTTGGCTGAACTATTGGGCTTGAGTTAAGTTTCAGCTCCAATCCAGCATATTCCGCAGTTCGTCGAAATTCACAACTCGAAAATTGTTCCTTTTTTTCTTCATATGATCCAAATTGAGAATGGTAGACATGGTCTAAGGCTATAACATGTACGGAATTGGTGAAGTTCTAAAGTTGCACTTTTTGTCGACGACATTTTTTGTAAACACGACTTTTCTGTCCAGAAACTTAGTTGATGAGTTTAAGTTAATTCAGTCCCCTAAACGATGTAGACTCGGCCCTTGATCGTAACACATGTATCACAAGCTCTCACCCCTGCACATATACCTTTTACAATGAATCTCTGTATTACTTATATCCACTCAATAATGAAAGGACGTACCCGAGTTGACAGCCATGACAGGGGAGTAGTAGTTGAGCCCGTGAATCACAAGCTCTCGTCCCTCCATCAGCTTTGTGTGTTTGCGCATGTCCCCTCTATAGTGCAACTCGTCTAGCCCACAGTAGAACGCATCGCACAGACGCTCCAGGACCTGAGAAATGGGGAGGGCAAAACGAGGCAAGGGATGATTTTGAGATCTCTCAGAATCAACCTTGGGCACAATGAGGCAAGGGAGGAAGGAAAGTGGTGCAGACATGGTGAATCCATATAACGAATTGCAACTCTGCTTATGGTGAGGTGACACGCAATTCTGCAACTCTGTAGGAGACGACCCCAAACCCTACACACTGAACCCCTCACCATCCTGTGGGCCCCCCCGTGCCACCTCAGCAGCCTCCGTCCCGACAGCAAAGCAAAGATGAACGCCGAAGTGTACCCTCTCAGCGAGTTCCCCAGCCCAAAGCGCGGCGCCCAGATGAGCCAGCGCTCCCGCGGTATGCTCTCCAGAAGGCCCTCCATGATGGGATCGCGCGTCTCCTTTCCCACCCCCGCCCACGACACCAGCAGGTCCATTGGGATCGCCTCGCGCTTCTCCTGGTGGCGCCGCACGTTGCCGAGGATTTTCAGCTCTGTCTCGTTGGCGTCGCGGCCGAGGATGGGCAGGTTGGTGTAGGCTGGCGGGGGGAGAATGCCCTTGCATGAAGGGGTGTTCTGTAGGCGAGGGGAGGGAGGGGAGGAGAGATGAGGGGGGGAGAGAGAGAGTAAGTCTCGTTCATAGCACGCTTGGTCGGAAGAGTTTCTGGGGGACAGCTTCATGCTTCTCTTCTCCTGCTGGCGTCGCACGTTGCCGAGAATCTTCTGCTCTGTTTCGTTGGCGTCGCAGCCAAGAATGGGGAGGTTGGTGTAGGCTGGCGGGGGTAGAATGCCCTTACACAAGGGGATGTTCTGTAGGCGAGAGTGGGCCGGGTTAGGGTATGGAGATGGGGATGGGGAGTTGGAGAGTGGGTAGGTAATTGTGGTTGATTTTCAGGCCGAGAATGGGCAGGTCGGTGAGGGGAGGACGCCCTTGCGTGAGGGGGTGTTCTGCAGGAGAGGGGAGGGAGTGGGGCCACAGCTTGCTTTTAATCCACGTGTGCCCTAGCTTTTAATGACGCCGTTCCCCCGCACACTGAAGCACACACCCTTCAGCGGTACAGCATTCTTGCTCGGGCAAGAATGCTCCACAGAGGAACCAAATGTCGAGGCAAGTTGATCGAGTTCGCAACCTGGAGTCTTCGGAAAAAAACTGCGACGGAAGTGACTGGGAATCCACTCGTTAGCTTGTAATGACTTCGCGTCATGCATAGAAGCGACGAAGCAGAGAAATGGAAGAAAATGGAATGTTACATGTGTTTGAACCCGGAATCGAACCGGAGACCTCCAGTGTGTGAGACTGGCGTGATAACCGACTACACCATCCAGACGTGAGGACCTAGAATGAAGAGGTTAGTGTCAGCTGTAGCGGGGAGAATGCCCTGTTGAGTTATGAGGAGGTGTTCTGCAAGGGTAGGGGGCTGGCGCAGGGAGGATGCCTTTACATGAGTGGATGTTCTGTAGGGATGAGGGGGGTTTTGAAACCAGCCAGTGAGGAGGTGTTCTGCAAGGGTAGGGGGCTGGCGCAGGGAGGATGCCTTTACATGAGTGGATGTTCTGTAGGGATGAGGGGGGTTTTGAAACCAGCCAGTGCTGATTCAAAAACACTACCGTAAGGACACCTTCACTTGTTGTAAGTGAAGTGAAGTTGTGGGCATCTTCACTTACATACAACAATGCCGAACCAGGCACCCCACCTAAACATGCCTTGCCAGCTGTCGCCCAACAACACCCCACCAGCAGTTTCCACCTTGCATCAGCCGTTTTAATGCTGCTGCGCCAGCAACAGCAGCAGCAGCAGCAGCAGCAGCGGCGGCGGCGGCGGCGGTGGCGGCAGCAGCAGCAGCAGCAACAGCAGCAGCATATTCCTTCTTAACTAAAGAACTCACTTAGAGCTCATCGCATTGAACCAGGCTCCTCGTACGAACGTGCTGCTTCAGCTGTCGGCCAGCAACAACCTCTCCACTAGCAACCTCAGCACTTAACTAAGTGCTTACCGCAATGTCATATCGATCTTCTCGCAGAAACATGCTGCACCTGCTGCTGCTGCTGTGGTGCGAGCCAGCAGCAGCAGCCTCTCCTTAGATCGTATCCCTGGCTGGTGGCAAGAAGTTGGTGGCAAGAATTTTGCGCACGCGATTGGTTAAAAAAACCGCTTGACCAATCGCATTGGCCGGGCGTCTGTTTTGGACCAATCGCCCGCGGAAACTTCTTGCCACCAACTTCTTGCCACCAGCCAGGGATACGACCTTAGCTAAACACTCCACTTAATTAAGCGCTTACCGCAATGTCATATCGGGCTTCCCGCATGAACATGCCGCGCCAGCTGTCGCCCAACCGTGCCACGGGCCACTGCCATTGGTAGCTGTCGTGGTGCTGAGTCAGCATCTCCTCTTCATCTCCCACCTCGTTCCGCCACCGAAACGCTGACTCTCCCTTCTCTTGCGGTCCAGCCACCCACCCATCCACCAGCCTCCTCCTCCTTCTCGTTCTACCTCTCCTGCTTGTCTTCTCAATCGCTGTTCTCTCGGTATTCTCCGGCAGCCCTGCCATCCATCCGTCCACCAGCCGTCGTCTCCCCGTCCTCCCGCCTCTTCTCACCCCCTTGGGAACTCCACTCACTCCTCTCCTCTCTCCCCTCACTCCCCTCGCTTCCTTCACGTCCCACTCGCCTCTCATTTCGCTGATCGCCTCTTTCCACCTGCGACTCCTCTCCTCTCTGCTCCCGCTCTCCCCCTTGCCCGTGCTCTCTCTCGCCCTGTACCTATCACCCTCAATATCCCTCTCTCCGTCCCTTTCAGCACTCCCTGGTTTTTGAGAATTCTCAAAAACCCCGCCCCTGCTCTCTCTCGCCCTGTGCCTCTCACCCTCAATGTGCCTCTCTCCGTCCCGTTCAGAACTCCCTTCTCCCTCCCACGCATGAATCTCTTTAAAGACAGACTCGATAGTATCTTCCTCGTCCTCTTCCCCAGCCTCATCTTCTTCTCCTTCTTCCTCCGCCTCCTCATCTTTCTCCGCGTTCTCTTCCCCCGCATCACCACTCATTTCAAGCTCCTCACTCTCCTCCTTGCTCTCCAAATCCTCCCCACTCTCCAAACCTCTCTCTTTCCCCGTACTCAACTCAACACCCTCACCATCACCATTCCGCAGATGACCCATTTGACCCAGCCCTGATCTCTCGGGTTCATCTCCGCCGTCCGTCTCTCGGAGCCTTAATCCCTCTTGATGCCCGTCGTCTCGATCCGTTTCTGACAGTGTATTCCCCAGCCCTCTCCAGTCCTCCAACCCTAACTTCTCCCCCGTTTCAGTCACATCGTTCCAGTCACACCCCTCCCATTCCTCGCACGGCAGAATCAACTCCAAGAGCGGGTCGCGAGTTACCGGCAGTCTTCTGCCAGCACTAGTTGACGGCCGGTAACCACCAGTTGACGGCCGGTAACCACCAGTCGACGGCCGGTAACTACCTGACGGACTACTACTGCTCAACGGCTGGAAAGTGAAGCTTCTGGTCGGCGCCCAATCGCTATCAGTAACTAAATCAGGTCGACTGCTTTCACTAACGGCGGCCGGTAACTCCGTCCCTCGGGCGCTGGCTGCGTCAGACGGAACTCGACGGCCGTCAGTTGACAGAGACCATGACGGATGGTCTGCTGACGCCGGGACCGATAAAAGCGGGTTGATGATTAGTACTACGATTACCAGCGCAATCGATTCTTTTTGACTACAAGTGATTATAACGCGCGCCGCGGGCTTTTTGAGAGCTGCGGCTGCCATGGCTAGTAATAACCGAAGGAACTTCGATGCGTCCGCAAAGCATGAAGTGCTGCTAACGAATGTGCTTCAGGCTGCGGAAAGACACAGTCGAACGATGCTCCGGAAAAGACGGCATCATCAAAATTTAGCGCTGAATTAGGACGGGTGTGCGCGAAAATTTCTTCCGACGATTCCCGTGGAACGAAAAGATCGCGTGAGAATCGGAACTTGCTTGCGTATCAGCAGACAAGACTTCAAACGAGAGAATCTGTTGCAAGCTCCAAGCTTAGAGGCATTCTGCAAGAGATGGTGATGCAAGGATTTCTCAAACATCAATGGCCGACATAACCAGCAGTCGCTAGGAAGTGTGCCTGATGTTGATGTTGAAAACCGCCAGGGCGTGTTTATCCACAGCTGAAACAGCAAAGTCGCGATACTTTTCTGTGCGTTGTGTCTGTCGTCATTTCAGGGAAAGTAGCCGTTGGGAACTAGGGCTCCTGAGGGATGCAGAGGTGCGAATCGAATACGAAACAAAAGAAGTTTAATAAACACTTCTTTTCCCCCCTCATTGGTTGCTTCTGCCAAGTGCCACGCGCATCGTCCAATGGCAAAGGTTGGCCAACAATTTCCAAAGTTCTTCGGTCCAGCACCCAATTTCGGGTCAGGTGGTATCGAACTCGGAACCAATTGAGTCCTAAAAATAACGACCCGCGTTACAGATGCTGGACCTCGTGTCACAACTCCTGCGCTGGTACCACAGCGGACGCCATCGGGCTCGGCAGCCCGGCAGGGGCTTCCGACACTTCCACGGTTGAGCACGTTTCTGTACGCTTTGAAGCGTTTTGTTTCTCTGTCAAACCCAACCTCCTTTCTGAACATCGTACAGTTCGTAAACAAGATCTGACACGCCCGTACAGCTCGTTCAATGTCTCTCGAATAACTAGAATCACCAGATTTTACAGAACCCCTGAACCTTCAACCCTTCAGATTTTAGAAGGTGGCATTGTTCTAACCTCCCACCACCACCACGAGCCCTCACACCACCCTCATTCAGTATCCCCTTCTTCCGCATCCCTCTTCCCTCTCTAGTCGCAGATTGTTGTTGATCGGACGGGGCCCCTTGTTTCCCGGTGTTTAGTGAGCCGTGATCATTTCACCTTTTGCGTTTTTGGAGCGTGCGTAACGGTCACGTGCTATTGAACGGGTAGCAGCATCGTTAGATACATCTCCGTTTGCAATATTGAAGGCCACGTGTCATTGAACGGTTAGCAACAACAAGATTCTCAACTATACATCTCGTTTTCACACTATGGCAAAGTCGAAGCGTCGAAAGCAGCAGTCCCCGCACCATTCTCCAAATCCCGGACGTCCCGCGGCTCCACAGGGTTCTACAAGACCGAATGTGCCACAAACGGGAATTCCTCTAACGAATTCCGCTAAACCCCGACCAGGGCAGGTTTACATTATGGATCCGCAATTGGTGACACGTGTCGAGAAGATATTGGCCGATAATGATTACTTGACCGTGGAGGAAGTTGCGTTGAAGCTTCGCGAGGCGCATCCGCGGGACTATCAGCGCAAGCCACAAGGGCCGTTCTTAAAGAGCGTGACTAAAGCGGTGGAGGTACGTCAGCCGTCGATATATGAATTCAAGGTCTTACTGAAGCCCTTGTTGCGAGTCAATCCAACGTATGCCTCTTAAGCGGAATAAGCTATTCTAATGGAGGGAACTTTTAATGAACCTCCCGCTCCTCTCCCCATTTCGCCCTCTCCCCCAGCAGGCGGCGCAGCAGCGGCTGGAGGGGGGGTTGAGCCGCGAGCAGGCGGAGTTTGAGGCGAGCGTACGGGGGAAGAAGGCGGAAGGCGGACAGGCGGAAGGGGGAGGGGCGGAGGACCAGCGCCTGGCGCAGCTGGAGCAGGCGCACATGCGCGCAAGGGGGATAGTGGAGGCGGAGGGGGAAGATGAGGGGGAAGGAGAGGCGGAAAAGGAGGGGGAAGGAAAGGCGGAGGCGGATGGGGAAGGCGAAGCCGCGGAGATCGCCAAAGCCGCGGAGATCGCCAAAGCCGCGGGGAAAAGGATTGCGCAGAGCTCAGGGGAGAAAGCTGGCGGAAAGGGTTTAACCGGGGTTGAGGGTTTAGCGGGGGCTAGCGGAGGGGTTGGTCTGGGGGAAGGGCGCAAAGGGGGAGAAAGAGGGGAAATGGGAGATGCTGACGTGGCGAGTGAGGCGGGAGAGAGTGTGGAGGGAGAGAATGAGGCAATGAGTGTGGAGTGGAGTGAGGGAGAGAGTGAGGGAGCGAGTGAGGGAGAAAGTGAGGGAGAGAGTGAGGAGCCGCCAGAGAGTCCTAAGGACATCGGTACACGTGGCTTTAATCTCCTTAATGCTGCTCTTAGGAAGACTTATGATAAGGCAGGAACACCAGGAGGGAAGGGAGAAGGTAAGGGAAATGGAAAGGGGGATAACGCAGTGGAAGCCGGGAAATCGGCAGGGAAAGGTGAACGGACAGGCGCAGGGGCAGGAGCAGGAGGAGGAGGAAGCGGAGGAGTTAAAGCTTCAGCCTCTGCGTTTGCGCCTCTGAGTGCCATCAAGGCAGCAGCTCTTAGGGAGGCGGAGAGACTGGCAGGCAAAGGGAAACAAGTGGGCGCAGGTGCTGCTGCTGCTGTAACTGGTAACCCTGTTGCTGTTCTTGGCGCCCCTGATTCTGCTGCGGCTGTGGTTACTGCTGCTGGTCCTGGTACCGGTGCTGGTGCTGCTGGTGCTGCTGCTGTGACTGCTGCTTCTGCTGTCGTTGCAGCAGCATCTGCTGCTGAGGCTGCTGCGCCGGTGGTTGGGAATGGAACAGCCGTTGTTCCTGGTGTTGATGCAGCAGGAGCAGCGTTGGAGCAGCTGCAGCTGCAGCGGAATCAGGGGCAGCAGCAGCAGCAGCAGCAGCAGCAGCAGCAGCAGCAGCAGCAGCAGCAGCAGCAGCAGCAGCAGCAGCAGCAGCAGCAGCAGCAGCAGCAGGGGGAGAGGAGGGGCGTGAAGCGAAAGGAGAAGGATGTGATTGTAGCGGATGCCACTAAACAGGGAGTGATTAAGGCCAACACTGATATTGTTGTAAGAGCAGGAGCAGGGGTAGCAGCAGGAGCAGGAGCAGGAGCAGGAGCAGGAGCAGGAGCAGAAGCAGAAGCAGAAGCAGGGTTAAAGCCACCAACAGCAGTTAGACTCGAAAAGAATCGTTTGCAAGAAAAGAAATCCGTTACTGGTGCTTCTGTAAGTGCCGGCGGTGTTAGTTTAAGTGCTGGTGGCGCGAGTTTGAGCACTGCCGGTCCTGCTATGAGCACTGAGAGCCAGGGGAGTAAGCAGAGAGGGGGCAGAGGAGGGGGAGAGGGAGGGAGCAGAGAGGCAGGGAGCGGTAGGAAAGCAGTGAGTTCGCAAAATAGAGGAGATATGGGGGGGCTAGCAGCAGGTTCAAAGCTTGGGGGAGTGGAAGAGGAGGAAGGGGGGGAAGGGGGAGAGGAGGGGGCGAACAGGGTGGCTGGAAGGGGGAGGGTGAGTGAGGGAGAGAGAGGGTCGGAACGAGAGAGGCAATCAGAGGGGCTAAGTAAAGGTGGCGACACCAGCAGAGATCTTTTGAGGGACAGGATAAAGCGGGTGGGCACTAAAGGGAAGAAGAAGAAGGCCGGAGCAAGAGGTTCGGGTGTGGCAGATATCTTCCCAGACGAAGCAGGTCCGGGGGAGGGAGGTTCGGCCCGGGCCGCGCCTCGGGAGGTCCGGTTTGCGGATTTCGGGGGGATCGACGGGGTGGTGGAGCAGGTTCGGGAGCTGATCCTGTACCCGCTGGCGCATCCGGAGCTGTACGCTTGCCTCGGCGTCGAGCCTCCAAGAGGGGTGTTACTCCACGGGCCTCCTGGGTGTGGCAAGACGATGCTGGCTCATGCCATTGCACGGGAAGCGGGAGTGCCGTTTTTCAAGATCGCTGCTCCTGAGATTGTCTCGGGCATGTCAGGTAAGGGGTGGGATAGGTGGTTTCCATTGCTGCTGCAGCAGCAGCCGACGGTTGCTGCTGCACGGCCCTCCTGGGTGTGGTGGCAAGACGATGCTGGCTCATGCTATTTCTATTCTAGAGAGGCTGGGTGGGGTACCAATCTTCAAGATTGCTGCCCCAGAGATTGTCTCGGGCATGTCAGGTGCGTCATGAGTTGGCACCCAGGCCGGTTCCCTGAACTGAAAGCAGTGTTATGTTGGTGCGTCTAAGGGCGAGGTTGCTTGCAGCAAGGCCCTTCCCCTGGGTGTACTAGCTAACAAGACAATGCTGGCCCATGCTAGCTCATGCATGCCATGCCATGCCACGGGAGGCTGGAGTGCCATTCCTTTAAGATCGCTGCCCCAGAGGCTGTTTCGGGCATGTCAGGTGCGTGATTTTTCTTTGAATTCAGGCGCCTCAACGCACACACGGACTGCCTCCTGGGTGTGGCAAGACGATGCTGGCTCATGCATGCATGCCCTGCCACGGGAAGATGGAGTGCCGTTCTTCAAGATCTCTGCTCCTGAGATTGTCTCCGGCATGTCAGGTCAGGTGCGTTGTTTGTGTGTTCAGAGCTTGTGTGTTTTGAGGCGCCGCATCAACTCAACACGACTGAATCTGTTTTTTGAGAATTAAAAAAAAAAAGAAATACGTATCTAGGTGCGTTGTTTGTGTGTGTGTTCTGAGGCGCCGCATCAACTCAACAACACAACTGCGTAGGTCGCCGGGGCTTAAATGGTTCTCTCCCTGGGTGGGTGTGGCAAGACGATGCAGGCTCATGCCATTGCACGAGAGGCTGGGGTACCGTTCTTCAGAATCGCAGCTCTAGAGATCGTCTCTGGCATGTCAGGTGAAGAGCGGGATATGTGATTTCTATTGCTGCAACAGCATAAGAGTGTTGCTGTAACAGCATAGGAGTGTTGCTGCACGGGCCTCCAGCAGGGTGTGGCAAGACAATGCTCACCCAGGCCATTGCACGGGAGGCAGGAGTGCCGTTCTTCAAGATCGCTGCTCCTGAGATTGTCTCCGGCATGTCAGGTAAGGGGCGGGGTAGGTGGTTTCCATTGCAGCAGTAGAAGCAGACGGGTGCTGCTGCTGGGCCCTCCTACTGGGTGGGTGGAAAACGAGACGATGCTGGCTCATGCCGTTGCTAGGGAAGCTGGGGTGCCTTTTTTCAAGATCGCTGCCCCTGAGATTGTCTCGGGCATGTCAGGTAAGGGGCGGGGTTGGTGGCTTCCATTGCTGCTGCAGCAGCAGCAGCAGCAGCAGCAGCAGCAGCAGCAGCAGCAGCAGCAGCAGAGGGTTTTTTCTCCACGGACGGACCTCCTGGGTGTGGCAAGACGATGCTGGCCCATGCCATTTCCAGAGAGGCACGAGTGCCGTTCTTCAAGATCGCTGCCCCAGATATCGTCTCGGGCATGTCAGGTATGCAGTTTCTTTGTCCCCATGAGCGGCAATCCATGCACGGACCTGACAATGCTGGCTCAGGCCATTGCTAGAGACGCGGGAGTGCCGTTCTTCAAGATCGCTGCTCCTGAGATAGTCTCTCTCTGGCATGTCAGGTAAGGGGCTGAATATATAATATCCATTGCAGTAGGAGGAGCACCATAGGGGTACTGCTGAACGACCTTCCTGCTGGGTTTGGCAAGGCGATGCAGGCGACTTTTGAGTCGACTCAAAAGTCACCTATTGAGTCGACTCAAAAGTCACCTATTGAGTCGACTCAAAAGTCACCTATTGAGTCGACTCAAAAGTCACCTATTGAGTCGACTCAAAAGTCACCTATTGAGTCGACTCAGTAGGAGCAGCACCATAGGGGTGCTGCTGAACGACCTTCCTGCTGGGTGTGGCAAGGCGATGCAGGCCCATGCATGCCATGCTACGGGAGGCGGGGGTGCCATTCTTTAAGATCGCTGCTTGTGAAATCGTCTCGGACATGTCAGGTATGTCATTTGTGCTGTGTAGCTTCTGCTGACCATTCCTCCCTGTTTTGTCTATTTCTATCCTTCAGATTTCACCAGGTGAGTCAGAGGCGAAGCTACGGTCGCTCTTCTCCTCGGCTGAAAGGGCTGCTCCAGCGATTCTGTTTATTGATGAGATTGATGCCATCACACCCAAGAGGGAGACGGCTCAGCAGGAGATGTCCTGCTGCTGACAATCCCCTTCTGTCCCTTTTTTTCCATGCTTCCCTACTTGAGACTGCCAGGTGAGTCGGAGGCCAAGCTACAGTCGCTCTTCTCCTCGGCTGAACAAGCTGCCCCAGCCATTCTGTTTATTGATGAGATTGATTGATGCCATCACACCCAAGAGGGAGACGGCTTAACAATGATTCCTGCTTGTTTTGTTTCTTTTACTTTCATATCTCACCAGGTGAGTCTGAGGCGAAGCTACGGTCGCTCTTCTCCTCGGCTGAAAGGGCTGCTCCAGCCATTCTGTTCATCGACGAGATTGATGCCATCACACCCAAGAGGGAGACGGCTCAGCGGGAGATGGAGAGGAGGATTGTTGCGCAGCTGCTGACGTGTCTTGATGACCTCCAGTCATCTCCTGACACGTCAGGGGAGAAGGCGGGGGATGGAAGAGAGGAGAAGGAGAAGGAGCAGGGGAAAGGGATGGAGGAAACGGAGAAGGAGCAGGAAGAGAGGGAGAGAGAAAGGGAGAGGGAGAAGAGGAGGAAGTTGATAGGGCATGTGGTTGTGATAGGAGCAACAAACCGTCCAGATTCATTGGATCCTGCGCTGAGACGGGCGGGCAGATTTGATCGCGAGATCTCCCTGGGGATCCCCGATGAGTCAGCGCGGGCCCGGATCCTGGAGGTACTTTCCAGGAAGCTGCGGCTGGAGGGGTCGTTTGATTTCGGGGTTATTGCGCGGCGTACCCCGGGGTTTGTCGGGGCGGATCTGGCCGCTCTTGCGAAAGAAGCGGCGGCTATTGCGGTGAAGAGGATTTTTACGAGTAAGGAAGCGGTGCTGGTGGGTGGTGGGAGATTGGAGGGAGCAGCAGGAACAGGAGTGGCGGCAATGGCTGGAGTAGGGGAAGGAGGAGCAATGGAAGTGACTGGAGTAGGGGAAAGGGGAGCAGGTGTTTTAGTAGCAGCAGCAGGAGAAGCAGCAGCAGCAGCAACAGCAGGAGCAGGAGCAGAAGGTGGTGACTGTATGCTGGTGGATGGGGAGGAGAATGTTCCTATGGCGAATGGGGAGGAGGGAGAGGCAGAGAAAAATGGGAAGGGAGCGAGGAGTGAGGCAGGGGAGGAAAGGGGTGCTGGAGCAGAACAGCAGGGCAAGGATGGAGGAGAGGAGGGGAGGGGGAGAGGAGGCGGAAGGGAGGCTTGGAGGGAACCGTGGAGGGAAGAGGAGCTGCAGGCGCTGAGCATCACAATGGGGGACTTTGAGGTGCGTTGGGGTGGTGGCATACCATAGAGTAGTGAGAGGCATGGAGGTATGCTCGCAGGCATGTGCCTTGTGCATACCATCTGCATCGAGGAAGAGGAGTTGCAGGCGCTGAGCATCACAATGGGGGACTTTGAGGTGCGTGGCATCATCTGCCTTCCCGTCTGAGAACCACACCCACCGCCCTCTCAACGACCACCCTCTACCATTTTCTTACATGGTACCCTATCATAACCCTCCCTTCCTTTCATGCAGGTCGCATGATGAACGTAAAGAGGTGATTTTTGAGTCGACTCAAAAGTCCCCTCGTTACCATGGCACACGACACATTTTTGAGTCGACTCAAAAGTCCCCTCCCTTCCTTTCATGCAGGTCGCATGATGAACGTGAAGCTGAGTGCAAAGAGGGAGGGCTTGACCACCATCCCTGGGGGGCCACCTGGTTGGATCGGAATGTAATGGGACTGTGTGGGCGCTTTGGGAGGAGGGTCTGATACCTTCTTGATACCTTCTTGATACCTTCTTGATACCTTCTTGATACCTTCTTGATACCTTCTTGATACCTTCTTGATACCTTCTTGATACCTTCTTGATACCTTCTTGATACCTTCTTGATACCTTCTTGATACCTTGTGACCCCGAACCAATCTAACCCCACTCTACCACCCTGCCAATCACCCTACCCTTGTTCCTCTTTGGCAGGCTGCAGTGGCGACAATACAGCCGAGTGCCAAGAGGGGGGGCTTCACCCCAATCCCCGGGGTCACCTGAGTGATGATATGATCAAGTTCTATTCCCTCTCACCACTCTCTACCACTCTGTACCACTGCAGGCTGCTGTCTCGGAGGTAAAGCCGAGTGCCAAGAGGGAGGGCACGTGGGACGACGTTGGTGCTCTGGCTGGCTGACGGTGTAAACCTCTTTTATTCCCTTGCACCACTCTCCACCACTCTCCACCACTCTCTACCACTCTCTACCACTGTGGATCACTGCAGGCAGCAGTGGCAAAGGTGCAACCGAGCGCCAAGAGGGAGGGATTCACCACCATCCCCGGAGTCACTTGGGACGACGTGGGGGCTCTGGCAGACGTGAGGGAGGAGCTGGAGTTTTCGATTTCTCGGCCGATCAAGTACCCTGAGGAGTATGAGGTGGGTTGAGTATGAGGTGAGTCAATCACCACCATGGCTTCACCTCACCACCATGGCTTCACCGCACCACCATTCCCGGGGTCACCTCAGCTCCCTCACCACACTTGAGTAGGAGGACGACGTTGGTGCTCTAAGTGATGTGAGGGAGGGAGGAGCTGGAGTTCTCCATCTTGATTTCTCGCCCCATCAAGTACCCCAAGGAGTATGAGGTGAGTTGGGGTGAGTTGGGGTGAGTTGGGGTGGGTTGAGGTGGGTTGAGGTGGGTTGAGGTGGGTTGAGTAGGAGGGCTTTACCGCCTTCCCTCGGGGTCAATTGGGACGACGTGGGAGCACTCTCGGATGTGAGGGAGGAGCTGGAGTTCTCCATCTCTTGGCCCATCAAATACCCCGAGGAGTATGAGGTGGGTTGGCTGGTTACCATGCATGCAGTGCCCCTGGCCCCAGGCTGTGGCAAGGCAACACGCTGGTGGCCAAGCCCATGCTCCTCCGCATCTCGGACACCCTCTCTTCACTTTCCTCTCTGTGTCCTTCTGTCTATCCGTCTGTCCCCCGCCCCAGGCCATCGGGCTCAGAGCAGCAACGGGCATTCTCCTCTACGGCCCGCCAGGGTGTAGCAAGACGCTGGTGGCCAAGCCGATTCTCCTCCGCATCCCTTTCACCCTCTCTTCACTTTCCACTTCCTGTCTGTCTGTTGGCAACTTGGCAGGCCATGGGGCTCAGAGCAGCAACGGGCATTCTCCTCTACGGCCCGCCAGGCTGTGGCAACATGCTGGTGGCCAAGGCGACTCTCCTCTTCCACCCGCGCCTCACTTGCCTCTCTTGCCCCCTCTGTCTCTCTCTCTGTGTCTGTCCTGCAGGCCATGGGGCTCAGAGCAGCAACGGGCATTCTCCTCTACGCACCTCTGGGGTATGGCAAGCCGCTGGTGGTCAAGGCGATTCTCCTCATCTCTTTCACTCCCTCTCTTCTCCACCTGCCTTGCCTTGTCCCCCAGGCCATGGGGCTCCGAGCAGCAACAGGCATCCTCCTCTACGGCCCGCCAGGGTGTGGCAAGACGCTGGTGGCCAAGGCGATTGCCAACGATGCTGGGGCGAATTTCATATCCATCAAGGTATGCCATGTCATGTTTTACATGCCACAAATGCCACAAGTGCACTACAGGGATGAAGCTATGGCTGTGGCAAGACTGTGGTGGCCAAGGCAATTGCCAGTGATGCCGGGGCGAACTTCATCGCTATCATCAAGGTATGCTGCTGTGCTTGCTAAAGCGTGGCGGTAAGGTATAGCTGGTATGGTATGCCATGAAAAATCGATCGCACTTGTTCTGGTTTGGCCCTACCCAACCCAACCAAGTGTTATGAGATTCAACTCTTGGCACAAACAGCCTCACGCACGTCAGTGTACATTCTTCCATACATTTTTCCCTACCAGAATTTTTCTTTCCATACCTCTATCCTAATTGTTCCCTTTTGAGATGTCTCAAAGTCCCCCTTTTGAGATGTCTCAAAGGTCAGACTACGTGTGTCCCTACCAGAACTATCTATCCAGACCTCTATCCTAATAGTTCCCTCATCCCACACTCAGGGACCAGAGCTGCTTAACAAGTACGTGGGGGAGAGCGAGCGGTCAGTGCAGCAGCTGTTTGTGATGCAGCCTTGCTTCCTTTCTCCACCTTACACTCTCTTTCCTCCTCTCAACCCCCTCCTCCCCTCCAGGGACCAGAGCTACTCAACAAGTACGTGGGGGAGAGTGAGCGGTCGGTGAGGCAGCTGTTTGGGCGGGCAAGCTGGTTCAAAGGCACCCCAAATCTCTCTTCTCTTCCGCGCTCTACTTTTTTTCCTTTCTTCCCTCCTTTCCCTCTCCACCGATCAGGGACCAGAGCTGCTGAACAAGTATGTGGGGGAGAGCGAGCGGTCTGTGCGTCAGCTGTTTGACTCTATACCCTACCCTCTTCTCATCTGCCCTCTCCGCCCTTGCTTCCCCCCCCACTCTTTCTCTCGCTCTCTCAACCCCCTCCTCCACTCCAGGGTCCAGAGCTTCTGAACAAGTATGTGGGAGAGAGCGAGCGGTCTGTGCGTCAGCTGTTTGTGCGGGCGAGGGCGTCGTCGCCCTGTGTGCTCTTCTTTGATGAGGTGAGGAAAGGAAGGATAAGGCGTGCTTCTCCTCTAAGGCACCGCCGCAGGTGGCTTTGTCTCTCATGTCAAGCTGTTCTGTTTGTGCGGGCTTTTGAGGCGCCTCAAAAGTCTCTCATGTCAAGCTGTTCTGTTTGTGCGGGCTTTTGAGGCGCCTCAAAAGTCTCTCATGTCAAGCTGTTCTGTTTGTGCGGGCAAGAGCATCGTCGCCCTGTGTGCTCTTCTTTGACGAGGTGAGGTTACAAGTCGGTTCTAAGCAAGGCACATGTTCGTTTCGTGAGGGCGAGTTCTGGGTCGACTCAAAAGGGCTTTCCTGAGGTGGCACGTGTACGAAGATTTATTTTCAGACATCTCAAAATAAAAGGGCTTTCCTGAGGTGGCTGTTTGTGCGAGCAACAGCATCGTCTCCCTGTGTGCTCTTTTTTGACGAGGTGAGGAGCAGAGTATTGAGAAGCCCCCTCATGGCTACCTGTTTGCCATTGGGTCTTCTTTGGGCGAGTTTTGTATCGACCCAAAGGGCATTGTCACCTCCTGAGTGACTTTTGAGTCGACTCAAAAGTCTTTTGAGTCGACTCAAGAGTATTGAGAAGCCACCTTATGGCCACCTGTTTGCAAGGGCGAGCTTTGTATCGACCCAAATGCACCTCCTGAGTGGCTGTTTGTGTGGGAAAGGGCATTGTCGCCCAAGGATCAAAATTCATGTCGGGAGAACCCTTCTGCGCAAAGGGAAAATTGTGTGGGAAACGGCATTGCTTTTGAGTCGACTCATGTCAAAAGCAGACCCTTATGCGCAAAGGGAAAATTGTGTGGGAAACGGCATTGTCACCCTGTGTGCCCTTCTTTAGTGAGGGAGGAAGTGAAAAAGTAATATGAATTCCTCAAGGGACATTGTTTGAAAGCCCTCTAAATGTCGTTTCACAGCCAGCTGCTTGTGCAAGCAACAGCGTCGTCGCCCATCCCCAACCTCTCTCTTCCATCCCCCAACCTCCCCTCACCGCTCCCCACCGCCACAGATGGATGCAATGGCTCCCAGGAGAGGGTCGGACGGTAATGGGGCAGCAGAGAGAGTCGTCAACCAGGTGAGCTGGCAGGTCAACGCAGGTCAACCAGGTGAGGTGGCAGGTCAACGCAGGTCAACCAGGTAAGCTGGCAGGTCAACGCAGGTGAGCTGGCGGGTCAAGGTGGGTCAACCAGTCTTGCTGTTTCTATGTAGTTCTGTAACGTTTGGTACGAGTGTTATTGGACTACTTTGTGATTTGTCCTTTCAAATCCCATTTTTCGAGCGTTTCGCTTCTCATTCGCAAATAACGTTTCGCGCTGACATGCCTGTCGTCGTTGTGCTTCTTATCGCGTTGTGGGAACAGCTTCTAACGGAGATGGATGGGCTTGAGTCACGCAAGAGCGTCTACATCATCGCTGCCACCAACAGGTGTGTGTGCCTTGAGTCTCCCAAGAGCGTCTACATCATCGCTGCTACCAACAGGTGTGTGTGCCTTGAGTCTCCCAAGAGCGTCTACATCATCGCTGCTACCAACAGGTGTGTGTGCCTTGAGTCTCCCAAGAGCGTCTACATCATCGCTGCTACCAACAGGTGTGTGCGCCTTGAGTCTCCCAAGAGCGTCTACATCATCGCTGCTACCAACAGGTGTGTGTGCCTTGAGTCTCCCAAGAGCGTCTACATCATCGCTGCTACCAACAGGTGTGTGTGGTGTGTGCTGTGCGGTTAGATGGGTGTGTGTGGTGCACTATGTGTAAGTGAAAAGTGGGGGAGGAAGGGATCGGGGAGAGGGGGGAGGGGAGGATGGGGGGTGGATGGATGTGTGTGGCTTTGGGGCTTGCAAGAGCCACTCTTGAGAATTCTCAAAAGTGACTTGCAAGAGCCACTCTTGAGAATTCTCAAAAGTGACTTGCAAGAGCGTCTACATCATCAGATCTGCCGCATGTGGTGGTTAGGGGGGTGTGCACAAGTGTGTAGTGTGGTGGTTAGGGGGGTGTGCACAAGTGTGTAGTGTGGTGGTTAGGGGGGTGTGCACAAGTGTGTAGTGTGGTGGTTAGGGGGGTGTGCACAAGTGTGTAGTGTGGTGGTTAGGGGGGTGTGCACAAGTGTGTAGTGTGGTGGTTAGGGGGGTGTGCACAAGTGTGTAGTGTGGTGGTTAGGGGGGTGTGCACAAGTGTGTAGTGTAGGTAATGAGAGGAGTGGAGTGGAGTGATCATCATCACTTTTAACATGATCAATCCAACACTCCTCGCCCTAATCCCTTCCGCTCGCCTCTCCTAACGCCTTCTTCTTCCTCTCCCTGAAATTTCAACCCAGCACTCCTCCCTTCCAAGATTCTACTTTCATTCTAGTCCCCGCCCCCTTCCCTCACCTCCCCACTTTCCCCTTCCCTCAACTCCCCGCTTTCCCTTCCCTCCCCTCCCCCCATGTGCTCATCTGCCACGGTCAGGCAACTGATCGAACCGGCCCTCCTCCGTCCCAGTCGTTGTGATGCTGCCAGTAACCCCCCCCCCCCCCTCACTCCCGTACCCCCCTCACTCACACCCCCATCAGGCCTGACATGATCGATCCAGCTCTCCTCCTCCCCGGTCGCCTCGACAAGCTTCTAGTCGTTCCCCTCCCGTCTGAGAATCCTTAATTGTTTCCCTCCCTCCTCCCTCCCTCCTCCCACCCTCCGAACCTCCCTACTTTCTTCCCCAGACCTGACATGATCGACCCGGCACTCCTCCGCTTGCACTGTTTTTATCGGAAATTGTTTCGTTCTTCCACCCCGCCCTTCCCTCTCTTCCCCAGACCTGACATGATCGACCCGGCACTTCTCCGCCCGGGTCGCCTCGACAAGCTTCTTTTCATTCCGCTGCCCGACTCGCCGTCTCGGGCAGCCATTCTGTGCACTCTCATTCGCTCGATTCCCCGGGCAGAAGACGTAAATGTTGAGCTTATGAATGAGCTGGCAGGGGTTGGGGATGGTGGGGCAGCGGCAGCAGCGGAGGCAGCAGCACCAGCAGCAGGGGAGGCAGCAGCAGCAGCAGCAGCAGCAGGGGAGGCAGCAGCAGCAGCAGCAGCAGCAGCAGCAGCAGCAGCAGCAGCAGCAGCAGCAGCAGCAGCAGCAGCAGCAGAGGAGGCAGCAGCAGCAGCCGGGTCAGAACCAGCAGGAGTAAATATTTCTGGAAGTGAGGAGCAGAGAGGAGGAGGAGGATCAGCAGGACAGGGGGAGCGGAATAGAGAAGGTTCAAGTGTAGCTGAATCGGAGGGGCAGAAAGCAAGGGATAGGAAGGTGGGCGGGAAGCTTCCGGGAGCGGCTAGAGGACGCAAAGCCCCTTGTGATGGATTCAGTGGTGCTGACCTGGCAGCTCTGGTGAGTTGACCCCAGTTGACTGTCTTGCTGCTGGTCTGGAACCGCTGGTGCATTGAATTTTGTTGACTTGGTTGACTTGCTTCTTACCACTGACCTGGCGGTGCTGGTGAGTTGACTCCAGTTGACTTATTTGCTGCTGACCTGGCTTTGTTGATGATTTGACTCCAGTTGACCTAGTTGACTTGCTTTATTCTGTATTCACCTGTGTTGGAATCACATTTGAGAATTCTCAAAAGCGATTTCAACATCGTTGACTTGACGAGTTGACTCCGGTTGACCTGGTTGACCAGGTCAAAGGACCTGGTCCTTGCATTCACTTGTTTGGCGTCAAAGAACCGGCATTGCCTACCTTAGACTTGAGCTGAGCGCCGTGCTAATTCAAGTTGACTCAAGTGGACTTGCTTGACCTGTGTGAGGGACGTGTGTAGTTGACTTACTTAATGGTGATTGCAAATGTTTCCCTCCTTTTGCTCTTCTGCAGCTATCATTACATCTCTGCTTATGAGATCCAAAGAAACCCACAGCAGTCAATACATCTAGAAATTAAACTCTGCGCCGTCTTGCAATGACATGCCCCGTTTGCCCTTCCTCATTGCAGTCTTCGCCACCCTTCCTCCTTCATGTGTTCAATCTACACATGCAGGTGCGGGAGGCGTGTGTGACGGCACTGCGAGAGTGCGTGCTTGTCTCCCTTCGTTTTGCCCATCATCGTAACATTCTTCAAAGCTCCGTCTCTCGTGTGTTCTATCTACACATGCAGGTGCGGGAGGCGTGTGTGACGGCACTGCGAGAGTGCGTGCTTGTCTCCCTTCGTTTTGCCCATCATCGTAACATTCTTCAAAGCTCCGTCTCTCGTGTGTTCTATCTACACATGCAGGTGCGGGAGGCGTGTGTGACGGCACTGCGAGAGTGCGTGCTTGTCTCCCTTCGTTTTGCCCATCATCGTAACATTCTTCAAAGCTCCGTCTCTCGTGTGTTCTATCTACACATGCAGGTGCGGGAGGCGTGTGTGACGGCACTGCGAGAGTGCGTGCTTGTCTCCCTTCGTTTTGCCCATCATCGTAACATTCTTCAAAGCTCCGTCTCTCGTGTGTTCTATCTACACATGCAGGTGCGGGAGGCGTGTGTGACGGCACTGCGAGAGTGCGTGCTTGTCTCCCTTCGTTTTGCCCATCATCGTAACATTCTTCAAAGCTCCGTCTCTCGTGTGTTCTATCTACACATGCAGGTGCGGGAGGCGTGTGTGACGGCACTGCGAGAGTGCGTGCTTGTCTCCCTACGTTTTGCCCATCATCGTAACATTCTTCAAAGCTCCGTCTCTCGTGTGTTCTATCTACACATGCAGGTGCGGGAGGCGTGTGTGACGGCACTGCGAGAGTGCGTGCTTGTCTCCCTTCGTTTTGCCCTTCATCGTAACATTCTTCAAAGCTCCGTCTCTCGTGTGTTCTATCTACACATGCAGGTGCGGGAGGCGTGTGTGACGGCACTGCGAGAGTGCGTGCTTGTCTCCCTTCGTTTTGCCCATCATCGTAACATTCTTCAAAGCTCCGTCTCTCGTGTGTTCTAACTACTCATGCAGGTGCGGGAGGCGTGTGTGACGGCACTGCGAGAGTGCGTGCTTGTCTCCCTTCGTTTTGCCCATCATCGTAACATTCTTCAAGGCTCCGTCTCTCGTGTGTTCTATCTACACATGCAGGTGCGGGAGGCGTGTGTGACGGCTCTGCGAGAGCGCATGTCCAATCGACGCACAGAACCAGAAACAGCTCAGCTTCTTCCTTCTGCTTCTACTCCTGCCGCTGCTGCTGCCGCTGCTTCTGCTCCTCCTCTTGCTGCTGCCGCTGCTTCTGCTCCTCCTCTTGCTGCGTCGACTGCTGTTGCTCCTGTCGCTCGTGCTGCCGCGTTGGACACGGGACTGCAGGCTCGGCCCGGACCTGTAGTGGAGGCTCGGCATTTCAAGAAGGCACTGACTCGAATTGTCCCTTCGGTTTCTCCTCAGGTGGGCTTGTTGTGGGCTTGTATGTAAGCTTGTACGTGTGTCTGTTTGTTTTGGTCGTGTGAGTTTGTGGACTTTTGAGTCGACTCAAAAGTCACCCCGTGTGAGCTTGAGGACCAATTGTACTTGTGTATGTATCTGCCTCCTATCTGTTAGCATGCTTTTTGCCTGCTTCATTTCATCTGTGTCAAATCATTTTTTCTTATGCCTAATCAGCATATCAATCTCCCGGAGCTGCATTTTATTGTAGTATATCACGTAAACGTATATTTCATTGTGCTGTATCAGATTCTACACGATCGCACTGTTCTGTATCTCACTGTACTCTATCTCATGGGCATGTATCACAATACGAGTCATCTCCGTGACTGTTATCACAATAGATTTCGTCTCATAATACTGTCTCACATTGTACTGTATCGAACTGTACTGTATCGCATTGTACGTTGCAGGATATCAAGCGCTACGAGGACCTTCGCCGCAACCTTAGGGGTGCGCGTTACCACATCGCGGAATAGAGGGGCGAAGGGGAGGGCAGAGGAAGGGGAGAGCGGAAATCTACTGCTGTTTTTTCCTTTGCTTAAGCCTACTGCACGCACGCAGCTCACTGAGCCATGTCCGGATCTCGCGTTACCACATCGCGGAGTAGCGGGGTGAAGGGGAGGGCAGAGGAAGGGGAGAGGAAGCAGAGGGAGAGGAGGGGACCTCGAGACCTCCAACCTTAGGGGAGAGGTCCCCTCCTCTTAGGGGAGGGGTGCGCGCTACCACATCGCGGAGTACAGATAGGGAGGGAGCGCACATAAAGGGGAGAGGGATGGGTGAGGGGAGTGGTCCCAGACCTTCACGCTACGAGGACCTTCACGCTACGAAGACCTTCATGCTACGAAGACCTTCGCTGCAACCTTAGGGGTGCGCGCTACCACATTGTGGAGTACAGATAGGGAGGGAGCACACATAAAGGGGAGAGGGATGGGTGAGGGGAGTGGTCCCAGACCCTCATGCTACAAAGACCTTTGCTGCAACCTTAGGGGTGCGCGCTACCACACTGCGGAGTAGAGGGAGGGAAAGGTAAGAGGGAGGGGGAAGGAAAGGGCAGAAGAAGGGCAGAGGAAGGGGAGAGGAAGGGGTGAGGAAGGGGAGAGGGAGGGGAGAGGAAAGGGAGGGGACTTGGGGCCTCTAACCTGAGGGGTGTGTACTACCACATTGGCGAGTAAGGGGGGTGGAAAATAAGGAAAGGAGGAGGGGGAAGGCTTTTGAGACGTCTCAAAAGTCGCAACCTTAGGGGTGTGTACTACCACATTGGTGAGTAGAGGGGGCTGGAGAAGAAGGAAAGGGAGGAAAGGGCAGAGGAGGGGGAGAGAAGGGGAGGGGAGGGAAGGGCAGAGTAGGGGAGAGCAGGGGGAGGGGACCTGGGACTTCCAACCTGAGGGGTGCATGCATGCGTGACTTTTGCGTGACTCAAAAGCAACCTGAGGGGTGCATGCATGCGTGCTACCGCATTGCAGAGTAGATGTGCTGTGCTGGGACAGTAATTTGGTTGCAACTATTTTTTTGATTCTCTGAAACGTGGAACAGTAATTTGATTCCACATAACAGTGACTTATTTCATTCAAGAGAGCAACTACACATTGGGAGATCAAGGTGTCAGACTGTTGCTGCTACTGGAGTCAGGATTCCAAGCCACTCGGACCAACTTCTCCCGCCGCGAACCTTTCTCACACCTTCTCCCACCCCCCACGGCCGCATCAAGTCTTTCCTCGGGTCTTTCACAGTGAAATTCCACCTCTCTGGTCCAACCCCGTCTTGCTTCCTCTTCCTCATCCCCCGCCAAATCACCCCCTTCTGCTCCTCACTCAACCAACACCAGGGCTTCAGCCGCTCCTCCAAACCGTCGTGCACCGCCCACCACCGCTTAAAAGCGGCTTCGTTAACAAACTTAAGGTCGTGAAGCGACGCCGACAGGTTACAATCGAAATCGCGGAAGCATACCCAGGGTTTTCGGCCGAGAAAGTGAATGGCGTGCAGCTGGGGAGGATCAGAGGAGAACAAGGCATTCTGCGTAGCCACTGCCTCGTTATAGGCAGCGTAAGGTCTTTTGCCTGTGCCACAGGTGGTGTGCGGTGGCTTGTGTTTGAGAACGGTAGTGTGGTCTGGGAGGCGGTGCCACCAGGGGAAGACGTTGTTGATGTAACCCTGAGAAGGGAGAGTGGGATGGAGAGGGGTGGAGAGGGGTGGAGAGGGGTGGAAAAGGGGTGGAGAGGGAGTGAGTTGAACGGTCAGGGATGGGATGACGAAAAGGTGGTCTGTGCTTGAAAGAGTTGGTGTGGTTTGGGGTGGAGAGGGATGGAGCAGGGTTGAGTTGGATGGGGGGACGGAACGGAAGGGAAGGAGAGATAGAGATTGGCTTGGAACTTTTGGTGCGCCCTGAGAGGTGGTGGCCCCGGAGGAAAGTCGTTGCTGGTGTAACCCTGGGAGGGGGGAGGGATGGAGAGGGATAGAGAGCGATAGGGAGGGATGGGGAGGGATGGAGAGTGATGGAGAGGGATGGAGAGGGATGGAGAGGGATGGGAGTCACTTCGAAGGACAATCAAAGCAGCCAGCACACACCGAGGTGTCTTGTCTCTTGAGTCGACAGTATAACTGATCGACATAGTTGTAAGGGACGACGTTGGGGATGCTGGCGAGGAGGAAGCGTATGTTTTTTGAGAATTCTTAAAAAACGTACAATGCTGGCGAGGAGCACGTTAACCATGCTTCAAGTGGCCGCGTGCTGATAAACCCAACCCAAGCGTGCCACGTCCACCGCATGTATGAGCAAGTGTTTTGAGACGTCTCAAAACACTTGTTCATAAACGTTGGGGATGCTGGCGAGGAGCACGTTAAACATCCTTCAAGTGGCCGCGTGCTGATAAACCCAACCCAAGCGTGCCACGTCCACCGCACACAACCCAGCCATACCGTACAGCCGCCCATCACACACCCAGCACCCACCACAGCAACTGCACACACCTGGTCCTCATAGCTGTAGGCGGCTTTTGAGGCGCTGCAAAAACAAACAAAAAACCTGGTCTCCACGATTGTAAGAGAAGATGTTGGCCAGGAGGAAGGCGAACGTGCAGTGTGCCGGCTCGAGAACCAGCAGCCCGGAGTTGAAGTGGTTGTCGTCGTTGGGGGCAGCAGAGAGCTCGGGGAAGAGGAAGAGGTGTGTGAGCGGGCGCAGGGGCAGCACGTCCGTGTCTAGATAGACGATTCGCTCGTACTCTGTCAACTGCCACAGGCGCAGCTTGCTGCAATGGGAAGGGAGGTAGGAGAAGCGGGAAGGGCGGCGGGAGCGGGCGAGGAACAGGTGTGTGAGCGGGCGCAGCAGGGAAGCACATCCGTTTCTGCCACCGGCCACGGACGAAGCAGGGAAGCAGGGATAGACGATTCTTATTCGGTTAACTGCCATAGGTGTAGCTTGCTGGGAGAGAGGAGAGAGGGGGCAGGGGATCGAGAAACAGGAGGGAGCAGGGAGTGGCTGGCTCCCACCTCTTCTCCTCTCACCTCAAGTTCCACTCATTATGGCTCCCTGGTCGCTACCACGGGCTCTTGATCCTTTCAATCTCCACCACCCGCCATCCCGCTGCCTCAAGCCCTCTCCTGCTCTCCGCCCCCACCTCTGCTGATACCAGCGCCACCAGCTCCGCCTCTGCTGCTGCATGATGCTCCCCCCCGCCGCCCCCCTCCCCCCCGCTCCCCCCGCCCCCCCCCTCTCCACCCCCTCCGCCTCCCCCCTCGCTGCCGCTGCCGCCGCTGCCACCGCTGCTGCTGCCGCCGCCGCCGCCGCCGCCGCCGCTGCTGCTGCTGCTGCTGCTGCTGTCGCTGCTGCTGCTGTTTTTGCTGCTGTCGGTGGTGGTGCTGTGGGTGGGGCTTGAGAAGAGAGCGCGGGGGAGCGTGAGGCCGTTGGAGCGGAGGGCGTGGGCGAGGACGACTGCGCCACACACGTACTCCTCCTTGCTGTGTAGCACCGTGGCAAAGGCGAAGCGGGGTGGTGGGGCGGCGGGGGGACGCGCTGCAGGGGAAGAGCGGAGAGGAAGCGCAGAGGGAAAAAGGGCAGGAAAGGGGGAAGGCATTTGGAGGGTTGAGAAAGGGACGAGGGCGTGGGCGAGGAGGACGACTGCGCCACACACGTACTCCTCCTTGCTGTGTAGCACCGTGGCAAAGGCGAAGCGGGGTGGTGGGGCGGAGGGGGGACGCGCTGCAGGGGAGGCAGGGAGGGCGGGGGAAGGGGGGAGCAGGGGAGGGGCGAGGGGAAGGGGCGGAATGGGAAGAGTGAGTGGGAAGGGAGAGAAAGAAAGGCTTGGGGTGAGAGCGGTGTGAGAGGGGTGTGAGAGGGGTGTGAGAGGGGTGAGAGGGGTGTGAGAGGGGTGAGAGAGCGGTGTGAGAGGGGTGTGAGAGGGGTGAGAGGGGTGTGAGAGGGGTGAGAGGGGAGGGTCGTTGCAGGAGCACCACACCTGAGGCGCCCGCGTTGGGTTGCGCTGGGGCGCACGACCTTTTTGAGATACCTGAAATTAAGGCGTGTACAAAGTGCTGCACAAACTCGACGTCGAGGAACGTCGGTGAATCCTGACGGTTGGAACCTTTGATCCGAGGGTGGAAATTCACCGACGTTGCTCGACGTCGAGTTTTTGGGCACTTTGCACACGCCATTACGCACCTGAGGTGACTTTTGAGTCGACTCAAAAGCTTGCGCCGGGCGCAAGACCTTTTTGAGACACCTGAAATTACGCACCTGAGGCATCCGCACTGGGTTTTGCTAGAGCGCACGACCCCCCAGGCTGGATGCGCGCGCGCACGTCGCGCGCCGTCACATTGTATAGCCACACGTCGCCCTCCATTGCCGTTGTCCCGCCACTGCCACCGTTGGCAGCGGCGTGCGCAGCAGCAGCAGCCTTAGCAGCAGGCGCAGCAGGCGCCACAGCAGGAGCAGCAGCAGGAGCATGCAGCGTGTACGGCTGTGCATCCACGAGGAAGCGGCAGTGGAAGAGGTTCAGAGGCGGGCGGCAGGGGGAGACAATCACGAGGGGAATCCAGGGGCGGGGGGACTGGGGGAAAGGTTGGGGAGGATGGGGGGAAAAGGTGGGGAAGGTGCAGCAAGGTGGGGGAAACTTATGAGGCGACTCAAGAAGCGGCAATGGAAGAGGTTGAGTGGCGGGCGGCAGGGGGAGACGATCACGAGGGGAATCCAGGGGTGGGGGGACTGGCGGAGGGAAGGGGGAAAGGGGAGGGAAAGGGGGGGGGGGAAGGGGGGGGGGAAGGGGGAAAAGGGGTGGGGGAAAGCGGGGGAAGAGAGCGAGGCAGTGTGAGGGTGAGGATACGCAGAGAGGCACATTGCGAAGGGAGTACTAGAAAGGGGGAGACTAAGGGGGAGACTAAGTGATATCAGCAGCAGCACACACCGGGCCGGCACGATATCATGATGAGCTGAGCACGATATCAGCACACACCTTACTGACGAATCGTGCGAGCGACAGCATCAGCTGCTGCCATCGCACGTCCCTCGCCAACGAGCCGTTCGCTGGGCGGCATGGCACCACCGCAACCACCGCATCCACCTCATCCGCCACGTCAGCCACGTATGCCACGTCATCACGGTTCCCGTTTTCCTCCTCCCACGCCGCACGCGGGACAGCAGGGCAAGTGAGGCTGGAGCCGTAACGATCGTACGGATTAACATCTTGGTAAAAGCTGTCCCACGTCAGGTTTCCTGCCGGTTCTCCCGGCGCAGAAACCGGCACGATTTGGAACAGGGGCGCTGTCAATCTGCCATAAAAATCCACCCACATCGCCTGGTGAAATGCCTCCGCGGCAGGACCCGCGTTAAACGCGGCCACGCGGGTTAATATCCGCGGCGACTTCCCTGCGGCGGCGGCGGCACCCTGTTGCTGCGTTGGCGCCCGCCGCTCCTGCTCATGTGCGGCCTGCCGCCGGCGCGGCTGCCATTGCGACTCCGCCCCGACGCCATCAACGCCGCGCAGCGTCGCAGCCGCCGCCGCCGCCGCCTCCTCTTCCCACGTCGCCAGCGCGCGGAGGCCGCGCAAGAACACGGCGGAAAGAGCGGCGGCGGCATCCGCCGCGGGTCGGCGGGATGATAGCGAAGGCGAAGTCGTCGCCGCGGCGGCGGCGTTGAGGGGATCGTGGAAGCGGCGGGGGGGGAGGCGGGCGCGGAGCGCCAGCGAGAACAGAAGGAGCACGACGGTAGCACAGAGCGCGGAACGGATGATTCCGCGGGGGGGGGCTCCTCCAATTCCGCGGTAGTAGTAGTAGTAGCCGCGGCGGAATGATGATGATGCTGCGGCGAGTCGTCGCGGAAGTGAGGCCGCCAGGAACGTCATGATTGGCTAAGACTCTCCGGGTCGTACTACGAGAAATAAGATTAGTATTTTTACTACTACAAGTAGTAGTAGACCTCAACTTGAACTTGAACTTGGATGTTGGTGTTCCGTTGGCGGCTGCAACTGCTGTGCCAACCGTCGGGCCGCCGCGTCGATGCTTCTGCTCTGCTCAATTGGGTGAGTGAGCATTACGTCAATAGAGTAGCTGCCTGCCGGGCAGGTTTAGAGAAGGTTGGAAACACGTCTATATCCCTATCGTACCTGGCCGATTCGGGCGATATCTGGGGGAAGTGGAGGTTGCTTCCCCAAGTTGGGGAAGAGGAAGTTGTACTGTCCTGTAGACGTCTGTCTGTCTGCACGTGAGCGCGGCGGCGTGGATGGTCCAAGATTGCGCGTCGCTGTGTAATCAGGGCAGTTGATTGTCGAGTCGAGGTACAGGCGTGCTAAAAACGTTTCGTGTCCTGCTTGAAATCCTCCCCAACGTTCCTAATTCTAAACTGTCCACTCCGAAACGCAAACGATCTCACCCGCCGCATTGTAAGGGAACACTTCTGAAACGCTTTAATATGCCACAGTGTCACGCCACTCGGAAGCCACGCAGTCAGGGTGTTGTTCCCACCCACTCTCAACGTGCCGCCGCGGGGTGTATCCGTGAAGATAGGAGTCTCTCGATGTTCCGCCACGTAGGTGCATCTTCTTCGCCACGTGTTACATGGTCATTCAAAGCAAGCTCTCAATGATAGCCGTATGTACAGTACCGTTCTACAGTGTTTTTCAGCCATTTCCGCACTGTACAAACTGAGTACATACAAACGTAGGGGTTCCAGCGCTGGCAATCTCCTAACCTAACGACCTAATTCCTCGCCTAGTCAGCTGTCACGTCCGGACCGTTGTCCTCGCGCTTGCTCTACCCGCAAGCTGCTGCACAACAGGTACGTTATATGCTTAGGGCGTGTCCAGCGCGTACATTTACAGATCATAAACCCATTCAGTTACCAAATTTCCTATTGTAACACTGCATTTTACAAAAAGGTTGGACACGATCAGCTTCCGTTCACAAGACGGCACGCCCGCTGCGCGTACGACGAATCGTCTAACACACGTTACTGGAATCAGTGTGCGCGCGAACAAGGGTACAGCATTGCGTCCTGCCCGCTACAGTAATTTTCGTTCAAGCGTGGAATTTTCGCTTGTACGTGAATTTCTGTGCGATGATAGACGAGGCAACCAGTTACCTCGTTTTCCACGAACTGTAGAAATTTGTGTGCAGAGGGTTGTGTCCGCGCGCTGGAAGGCCCAATCCTTCGGACTCGACACACCTTAAATTCGTTTTTTGGTACAGTGAGATTTTTTGAGCCGGGAAACGTGTGAAGGTACTAATATTCCCAAAATGTACGCGCTGGACACGCCCTTATACTGTACTAGAGTCGGCATCCTTGAAGGTACAGTATTCAGCTTTCCAGAGTGCGTCTGTTTGTCGGATCTCACCAAAAGTCATCGTCGATTGGTGGTAAGGACGCGATCATTCTGTTACCCGCATGTAAGCGAGCTACTGTACCGTAACAGTTTTGTCTAAAACACACATACATTCTGACTTGTAGATGACTCAGCGTAGATTCTTGGTGATTGTTACGGGTGCAATGGATCGAGGTAGCGAGAATTGCACTAAGGTGTCAAACGAGTACAAAATGTGAGCGAAGGCATGAGCGAACATTTATACGCGAAACATGCAAACGGTAACGCGGTGTGTGCGAGCTAGCTAGTGCTATGCTGGCAGCGAGGCTCGGGCTAGTCCCGAAGCGTAGGCCGACACGGCCGGGCCAGCAGTGCGAGGTTTGGCAAAACCGTGCGCGCGAAGTTGGCGAAGCCCCGTTAGCAGTAACGGGCGAACAACGGCTGTTGCTGCACGCGATGTAGTCGGACTCCGTAAGGAATGCCGAGGAAATCCATTACACTACCCCCCCCCTCAAGAAGCCCCCTCCGCTACGCGAGTGCTTGTATATCGCGGAATCCCCGGCTCCTCAGGTACACTTGCAGGGCAAGGTGGTTTTCGATGTTGGCCAGGGGCACCCAGCTATCTTCAGTTGGCGTGCGGTCCTTCCAGCGAACGAGGAATTCAATCCTCCTGATTCCCGTGGGGTGGCAAATCCGATGGCTCAGGATTTTTTCGGGCTCGATGATCGGCTCTGATGCAGGGCGGGTCATAGAATGCGGGCGGTGATGAGGCAGTTGGCTGGTGGTTGGGATGTATGGGCGAAGTAGGCTGACGTGGAACGATGGGCTGATGTACCAGTCGGTCGGTAACAGTAAGTGCGCGGTTACTGGCGTGATCATGTGGTTGATTTGGAATGGGCCACAGTAGCGCGGTCGAAGTTTCGGTACGTCGGGCAGTCGCAGATTGTGCGTGTCGAGCAGTACGTAATCCCCTGACTGGTACGTGACTGAGCGGCGGTGGCGGTCAGCATTGCGCTTAGCGATGACTTTTGCCTTTTTAATTGCTTCAGCGGCTCTGGTGCGGGCAGCTTGCAGAATTTCGGCGAACTGCAGTGCACGTGGTGTTGGGTTGTCCGGACTCGGCGTCATGGGCACTGTAGGGTTTTGCCCGTAGTTCGGGTAGAAGGGGGACTGCTGCGTCGTTGCTGACGTGGCGTTGTTGTACGCGAACTCAATCAGCGGCAGCTGCTGCTCCCAAGTGGTCGGGTCGTCGCACGTGGCACGAATCAACTGCTCCATCGTCTGATTCGTCCGTTCCGTTTGGCCGTCGGTCTCGGGGTGGTACGACGAGCTGAACTGTAGCCGTGTCCCGAACTGCTCCCAGAGGTTCTTCTAGAAATTGCTGGTGAACTTCGTGTCCCTGTCGCTGATAATCGCTGCTGGTATCCCGTGCAGGCGAACAACGGCTGCGATGAACAGGCGAGCGGTGTCCTCAGCTGAGATCGACTTTTTGCACGCAGCGAAGTGTGCCATCTTCGTCAACCTGTCAACGACGACCATCACCGCGTCGTTACCCCCAGAGTTCGAAGGTAACCCCGTGACGAAGTCCATGGTAACCTGCTGCCAGGCGCGCTCGGGCGGTGGTATCGGCTGCAGTTGACCCGCCTTCCGCTTCCTCGAGCTCTTCATCACCTGACACGTGGGACACGAGCCCACGTGCTGCTGCACGTTGTGAAAATGAACGAGGAATGAAAAGACTAAGGGAAAGTTGGGTACAAGTACAAACCCTAGAAAGTTGTACCCCATATGTGCTACCCCACTATAGCCTACAGCAGCTAAGTCGTATAAATCTGACACACCCCCATAGGCAAAGTGGGGGAGGACAAGGGGTCACAAGACCAGTCAAGCAAAGCAAAGCAAGCTCAGGGTGGATCACAACGTCACCACACATTCCGAGCACAAGTTCAAGGCCACAAGGCCAGTTCACATGCAGGATTACATATATATATAAGGCTAAACAAGCAAGAGCAGGTGTATATATATATGTAACAGTACAAACAAGGTCAAGGGGTGAGCAAGTGAGGCAAGGTAGGCACAAGACCCAGCTGAGTACAGAAGCGCTGATGATCACAAGGCGCAAGTGCCTTGGTGAAGATATCAGCAGTGTTGGCCTGAGAGGCCACGTACGCAAGGCGTAGCTGACCACGCTGCTGTAGCTCACGAGCAAGGAAGTAGCGAAGAGCAATGTGCTTCGTTCTGTGCTCCAGTCTCTGCTCCCGACACAAGGCCAGCATGGCCTTGTTGTCTACGTACAGCACTGGAGGAGAACGAGGCGGCTCTCCGAGGTCAGTCAGCAGGTAGGTGAGCCAGCGAAGCTCCTGTGCAGCCATGGCCCCTGCGTAGATCTCAGCCTCACAACTGGAGCCGAGAACAGAAGACGAGCGGGTAGCCCGCCACGAGACAGAGCCGGAACCAAGGCTGAAGGTGTAACCCTGTGACGACCGCTGCGTAGCCTGGTCGTCAGCCCAAGAAGCATCTGCATGCCCAGTGAGGACCACTGGACTCTGCCCTCCAAGCACAAGCCCCATGCCCGACGTACTGCACAAGTAGCGCAACACCCTCTTCGCTGCAGCCATGTGCTCCGGTCTGTGTCTCCCAGGAGCAACATAGCGTGCGAGAATGCTAAGAGGGTATGCAAGGTCAGGTCGAGTGCAGGTCATCAGGTACATGAGGCAGCCAACAAGCTCTGGGTACGGGCCACTCGACTCTACGGACTCATCCGAAGGCAGAGCTGAGAGCGAGTGGCGAGTAGGCAGAGGAGTGGCCTGAGGCGAGGAGTACGTGAAGCCGAAGCGCTGAAGGACCTGCTGCACCATGTGTGACTGAGTCAGGGTAATGGTGCGGCGTGCTCTGTCCCGGGTGATCTGCAAGCCAAGGTAGCTGCGCAGTTCACCCAGGTCTGTGCACGTGTGTCTCTTCTGCAGCTCGGACTTCACGTGGGCGAGTCCAGCAGTGTCAGCTGTGGCAAAGACCAAGTCGTCGACGTACACGAGGATGTAGAACGGCGGCAAAGAAGTGTCGGTGCGCAGAAACAGCGACGGGTCGGCAGTAGAGGGAGCAAACCCAAGAGCCGCAAGCGTAGTCCTCAGTGTGTCGTGCCACTCACGCGGTGCCTGGCAGAGACCGTAGACTGGCCGCCGGAGGCTCCACTGGGTGCCAGGAGGAAAAGTCCCAGTGAAGCCAAGTGGGCGGCGCAGCCAGATCTCCTCGTGCAGGCTGCCCTGCAAGAAAGCAGTGCTGAAGTCAAGAGAGTGTAGCTTGTAGTCACGGTGAGCAGCTATGTGCAGCAGTACTCGAAGAGTGGTCATCTTCGGGGTGGGAGAGAAGGTCTGAAAGTAGTCAACTCCCTGCCGCTGACTGAAGCCACGAGCCACGTAACGCGCCTTGAAGACAGGCGGAGAACCCGGCGGCCGCTTCACCCTGAAAATCCACATGCCACTGACGATGTTCGCCCCAGGCGGGGGAACCTCGTCAACGTAGGTGCCTGTGGACTTCCAGGAAGCCAT